AACAAGACATCAACATTTGTCAGTCACACTTGAACAATAATGTTAATAAAACAAAATATTCAATTCAATATTCATACCAATTCCTGGTTTTTGTGGGTCTTGACACCCTCCATTACATCATCCTGATCAAGTGACAGCTGCTGAATACTGCTATGTGTTTGTAACAGGTTTTTCTGAATGGTACAGAATCTTAACAGGCCTTCTACATCCTCATGTTCATCATCATCCTCATCAACTAATGTCAGGTTACCTAATATAATAAAAACACCACATCAAGAACACAGGTAACCCAACCAATGAGAATTCCAATTCATTTGGAAGTGTTTACATTTAACTTTACCTTCTCACAAGTTAACCACATACCTAGTTTATTGGTGTTTTCAATGACTGTATAGACAGCCTTGACCATAGTCATCCCTGACAAGCTTACAGTACCCAAAACAAACTGCAGACCTCGGCGTTGTAACTGTGGGGTTTGAATGTCCATTAGAATGTCTTGAAGTTGTTTTTCTGTATCATCGACAACAGGATTATCATCCCCTGGAAAGAAGTATTGATGAATCAAGCACTTGTAGTGGGGACACCAAGGGAGGAGAGAAGCTATTTCCTTTGTTAATTAGTTCATACCATTCTCAGACTTGATGGTTTCAAGAAATGAACTCAGCTTTTTAAGTAAATGTAAATCTCTCATTCGTCTGCTGTGTTTGTCACTACAAAGATATCAAACATCTATTAAATGTTAAGAAATAAATAAAAATTGTAATACAATATACGCTGTATGGTCTGGTACAATAACCATGATAGTCCATCACAGCACCATTAAAAAAAATAAAAATAAAAATAAAAAATCAGTGCCTCATGTGAAAACAAGATATCAATCATTAATAATAAATTAATAATATCTGCACTATAAAATACACTGAACTACCTGAGTGCAGTGTGGAATGGTACAGAGAATGTCTTGAGTGTTCCATCCCCATGGATCAGTGTACAGTTCAGAGTGTGTTGTGGAGGCTCCTGTCTGTGCACGTGTGCCAGTCCTAATATACCATGGCCAGCATACAACAACCTGAGAAACAAGGATACATTTCATCAGTTGTTTATTCATTCGTTCTTTTACTTCTGTCCTTCCCTCCACTTTCTTTCCTTTTATATTTATTCATCCCTTCACTAATTTCTTCTCTTCTGTCCATTCATTAATTAATTTTTTTCACTCTCCATACCATCAGTTTATTCATTTTTAAATGCATACCTGCAGTCTTTACCAACTTTAAATGCAGCAACTCGAGGCCCTTGTTCAGTCCGCCATATCTTCATGGAAACAAACAGATAGAAGAATATCAGCAGGGCTGCAGTAAGCTACGTTAAATAACTTGAAAGCTGACATCCCTCTTTTCACATTCTGATAAAGTGGATAATAAAATGAGCTTGTGCAGGAAGTGTACAAAACGAAGTTCAACTGTAATTCATACTTTGACACTTACCTCTAAGATACCTCGTTTGCCTGCATAAATGACAAGGAATAGTGCTGTTCGCCGCACATGCTGAGCAGATTTATCTCCTCCAACACTCACATGATCATGGTCTTCATCAACAATGACCCAACCACACTCAGCATCACGGTAACCTATAGCAACACGARCACATCTTTTGAACTCGTCTATCACCAGGCCAGTGATGTTATTTCATTCTTACCTTTCCACATGCGAACTGCAATGCCTTTTTTGATATCCAGTAGCAAAACTCGACCAAACTCATCTGTCGCCACAGCAAGTTTGCCATTTGGAGCCAAGTTAATGCTGCTGCCATTACGATGAAAGTCTGGTAAACCGTACCTTTAAACAAGAACAGGTTTTTAGAAATAGATTAAGACAATTATTTTACAGTACATGGTTTATTGTGATGGACAAGTTGAATTAATACCTGGCAGATAACTTGGTTCCTTTTTCTACTTTTGGTTTAGCTGGATTTTTTGTTTCTGTAGCCTGACTCGGTTTGCTTCCCCAACCAAGCCAACCTCTAAACATGCATGGTAAACATTATTAACATTATACATTTATAACTTTTTAAATGATAGAAGTGGTGGCGGCAGTGGTGGTGATGGTGGTGGTGGTGGTDGTAGTTGTGGTGGTAGTAGCAGTGGTAGTGGTGGTGATGGTGGTGGTGGTGGTGGTGGTTGTGGTGGTGGTAGGGGGGGTGGTAGTGGTAGCGGTAGCGGTAGTGGTAGTGGTAGTGGTAATGGTAGTGGTGGTGGTAGTCGGTGGAGGTACAAGAATGAAGATACAAGAATACTCGATGTTGGTACCCACCCTGCARCAGATAACCTGGACAGCACTGCAGATGTTAGTTTACTGGCCACTGCTATGGCAACATCTGATATCAAGGGGGGACTGCTACCCTAAAAACATACAATCAGTTACACGTTTATTTTCTAATATTGTAGTGAAACAGTGCAATGTGATTTCATCTGGGCCACTACAAGCTTATTGTTTAATGAATGACTGACAATGTTCAGTATATTAATTGCATTACGAACCTCCATAGCAGAGTACACAGCAAGGAATGGTTCATTGCCTGAAGTCATGTATTGTGACATAGCTGGTGCAGCACCCCTTATGACTGCATTATATCCACCAATGAATGACGCCGTTTGTAGCTGGTCAAACAGGTTCTGGGTGATTATGCCTGGACAAATTTCAAGAAATAAGACATTTTGACAAAGTATAATAATAAATTGTGCCACTCTTCCTAAATGAAATGTCATTTTCCCTTCTACCTTCCTTCCTCATTCCCTCCCTCCCTTTATTTTTTCCTTTTTTTCCATCTTTCCTTTCCTCCCTCTCTTCCTTCATACTATAGATCTTTCCTTCTATTCTTTTTTTTCTTTCTTTCCTCCTTCCTTCCTTCCTTCCTTCCTTCCTCCCTCCCTCYCATCCTTCTTCCTCTTCTTCCTCATAGAAAGATTTCATATCTTACCACAGCTTGCAATATCTGTGATGATTTTCTGCCCATCAAACCTCCATTTTTTGTAGGCTAGTGGAGGGGGGTTTGTGTGTTCCATCTGTCCACTTGCCTGAGCTGAAAGTGAACATTTAAGGAATTAACAGTAATTGATGATGTCTGTGTGTATACATGTGGGCAACGATGCATACAGGGGACTGGATTAGGTGGCTAGTCACCCTTTGCAAGAAAAATAAAAGGGGCAAAACATTAAAAATCTACAAAAATTTTGTTTGGGGAGGGGTGGGGTGGGGGGGAATTAGGGGGATTAATAACCAAGCACAATATTACAGGAAATACAAACTATAAACTTGATTACCTCTAGCAAGTTGGTTTCTGCAGGCTCGTAATGACTGATAAAAGCTAAACCCATCTATGATAACCAAAGAATTTGGGTACAAAATAGCAAGTTCCTCTATCTAAAATCAAAGATAAGAATGAATGAAAGAGTTTCACTAAGGCCCTGTCCACACTATGCCGGATAAATTTGAATCCGCAACTTTTACACCGAAACCGAAAAAAACGTTTTCCGTCCACACACGAAAATGGATAAAATGTTTTGCGTCCACACTAGTCCGATCAGAGGCGGCAAAAACGCTTCATTGCACATCTGAGCATGTGCATCAAAGCTGAAATTGAGCCCGCGGTGATATTTTAGTCTTCCCGCCATGTGCCCATGACAATCATGACATTATTGTATTCAAAAAATTTCGGGTACGAAATGTTCTCCGTCCACACTAGTATGGCTAGCCGTCGTTTTCACATGATTGTTCCACTCTGGAGACTGTATTCAAGAAAATTCGTTTTCAGTGAAGAATTGTTCCGGATTTGCCTGGACTAGTTGAACGGTAGGCCTAACCGAATAAATAAAAATTCGGATTCAAATTTATCCAGCATAGTGTGGACAGGGCCTAAATTCATTGAACTAAACCTCACAAGACAATGTCAGGTGATGGCTTTGGAGGCTTTTCTTTTTTCACAAAAATCAACTTCAACATTTAAATTCAATAAATGTGAGTTTGTCATATTCAGTAGACTAAGCATACACTTCCAGCTCCTCTTCAATAAAAGTAAAATGAAGTATCTTTTGTCCATAACAAACCTGTTCAGCATTGCCGTAGTCTCTGTGGGGCTCCCAAGTACGGCACTTGAGTCGTATCACCGGGTCCTCATGGAGAAGTTGCGAAAATATCAAGGAGCCATTCTGAAAGAACAACACATCAAAATGAATACAAACAATATTTTTAGGTGTTTTGTTGCTTGGAAAGTTATTATGGACTCGGAAGTTTTTAATCAAAAAAACATTAATTGCTTCATAAAACAAAGTTCATATCTTTAATACATAGTACAGAAAATATTCATACCTCCCTCCCACGTAGAAGATATCTAAATTTCTGTCATCAATGGTTAATTCTATGGGATAGATATGAACATTTTCTGGAGTAAACACTGTATATTATATCTATTTTTAGACTAAAAGCTTACCTGTAGAAAAATCCTCATGTATCCTGAAGTGAATCCTGCTACAATACACGTCCAGTCTGGGCTACCTTGTGAGCTTCTGTAGATAAACACATCAATGAAACACAGAAATAACCTCCAATTGATCCCCTAGCTACTAGATGCATAAGTCATAAGAATATATCAAAGTACCTGTGTTGGGATGCTAGTGGTATACACAGAACATCTGTAACACATTCCCTGAAGAAATGAAATACAAAGGGTTATAGCTAGTAAATTTAAGTTATACCTTACTTAAGACCAAATTTGGCCAGACATTGTCTATTGATGTTAAGTTACCAGCCATTATTTTTGGCCCTGCAGTATTTCGTGACATACCCTTCCTCTACAGCAAGACTACCACTCCATGTTATTTCATACTTGTTGTGTTGCTTGTTGGCATCATGTTTGTCCCATTTAGCTAAAGCAAGAAATACAAAAAACACATGTTTGTTGGTTGGTTCATTTGTTGCAAATATTGTTAAATATTGTTATTTCAGACCATGTGTCATTCTAATAATAAGATGTTTTGTTTGAGTCATGCTCATGTCCATGCCATAACTTACATGTCAAAAACACAGCCTTGTCATCTCTTGCTATAGCAAGTCTGTCATTAGCCGGGGAAAGTGAAATACAACAATCTTGAAGCCACAAAGATGAAAATTCCTTATTATCTGTTTCCTCCTAGAAATATCAGTTTTAAATGAGTCAGTGATACAAGTATTAGTAATAAAAATTTGAGAAACAAATGAATGACATAAAAATGGGAAATGAAAAATGAGAAAGGATATGTATACTTTACCTTCCATGTCCAGTTCTCAGTGTCCCATTCGTCTAAAGAATAAGAAAGGAAGAGATGAAAAACAAAGAGAGTTGTAAAAAGAATGAGAAAAGATATTATGCTAACTCAATGGGAAACGCAGTAAAAAAATTCATTTACATCTTTTAATTGTAATTGTATTCTAAAGGTATTTATAAAAACTACAGTGTGATTTAGTACTCATGGCATTAAAGCAAACAATAAATATCAATAATAAGAATAATATATATAGCTTAGAAACGTTCAATATTCTCATTATTGTACAGTAGCTTACCTCCTGTCTTGGATTCAGTGTTCTCGTCTTCATCTTGTTTTTCTCCATGATGTTTGCTGTCTGCCAGCAAAGAAACTACTCTGTTTACATCCTCAATACATGAAAAAATATTCAGCGAACAAGCCATGGGGCTGGGTTTGATTTTTATGAAAATATTGTTATTTTTTTGATGTAGGAAACAAATTACAATCGAAACACGTCCACCATTTTGATTGTTTAGCAATACCGCTGATCTGGTGATTGAGGACTCATAAGGAAGTTCCTTGACCGGGAGAGACTGGGCTAGAGTTCCTTAAAAATGCGAATAGAAACAAGAAAGAGAAAGAAAGAGAAAAGAAAAAATGCTGATAGCTATTTCAGTCTGTCTGCTTATTTTACCTAAGTTTTATCGGTTTAATAATAATAAAGACCTGTGTGCATTTTCCGGCTTTGTTTCATGTTCCAAAATGATTTTAGGTACCCGCCAAAGAACCTGCCTTAATAGGTGTCTTTTATGCTATTCATCTGCGTGTCTCGCTACTGGGCTACTTTTGTTTTTCATTCATTGTCTTTAAACGAAAGTCCAAAATTGCTGAATCTGCGTGGCATGGAAGCTTGTACTCTTTGGCTTCTCATGCCCACGGCAACTCCCCTTTCACTGAGGATTTTAATTAGAATATTGAAATGCAAGAAACGCCAGTTTTTGATAGAGAAGGAGAGTAGGTGATTAAGAGGCCGAGATAAGAATACTTCTTAGTGAGTTGACAAGAGTTATGAAGGATTTAATGTTGGCATATCAGTTTTGTTTTCCTGAACTAAACTTCATTCGGCTGATCATCTCTGAAAGGTGGCCAAATAAAACGGTCTGTCATCCTTGATTTGTACATACTGGATTACCTGTGTTTTCTGGTATGACCTGTTCGTGCATCAATCAAGGCCTGTGTTGCATCTTTCAAACACTACTCTATTAAATAATTAAGTTAATATAGGTTAACGAACACACAAAAAGAAGTAAGATATCGATCTCTTGATCTGAAGAGACTAGTATTTTCTTTAGTCGCTTTTCATTTTCTATGAATACCGTTTGGTGCTCGCATAAAGTTGAAGGAACCTCGATCATTTTGGTCTATATTTTCGTCGGTTGTTTTGTTGAGAATCGTTGGCTTGAACCAAACATTTCCTGGTCCACCACATCGTTCAATTCAGCTAGATTCAATGGCTACGAGTGAAAACACGACGAGCTAATCATCTGAAAGCAAGTTGACGGTACATTGAGAATTCTCCTTCTTTTGGTTAAGGTTTTTCTCATATTCATAGGATATATATTTTCAGTCTCTTTAAATGTATTTTTTGACTAGCTTGGGTCAATGATACTAAAGCATGGTCGAGGGGGGAGGGGAAGGGATCGATGTGGCATCACAGTGCATCTTCGACATATTTTGTTTTCAATTAATCATTTTGTCTAACTCTCTTATTTTACTTTGAATTTTATATTTTCATCAGGGTTCATATGTAGCCTGCTGTTATTATCAGGACACGTGCAGAATACCTCGCTAGGCAAGCTATAAAGGAGTCATGCTTACTTATGTTGGTATAAGGAATATTCTCTTCTCACTCACCTTGTCGTGCTTGCTAATAGTGTACTTCCAGTACTGGAAAACCCAAAGATGTTGCGACGAGTTGTACTCGCTAACGTTTCGCATGGAGCCTCCCCCACCTGCACTAGTCCTTGAACTACGAGAAAAACCGCTGGAAAACACTCAGGATCTTAGGAGACCCAAAAGTAGTCAAAATGAGCAAGGAAAACAAACAAACCTTATGATTATCAGCCAGGGAAGGAGTGGTTCTTCGTTTATCGGACAAATTTTCAACCATCACCCAGATGTGTTTTACATTTACGAGCCTCTTCACACGTTGGAACGAGTTGATAACTTTGATAACTTTATTGGCAACAACACCTCAGAATACAATCAACGTGCATCTATGATATTAGAAGAGATTTTCAATTGCAGTTTTAGAAAATCTCCTTACCTAGATTATCTATCGCGTCCAGGACATTTTAGATTATCGAGCAGGGTGCTAAGATCTCCACCATTTTGTACAAGGGAGGCGGAGAATACAACAGCGAAAGAAGTGTTTGAAAAACAGCTATGCTCGTACTTAGAGCCAGTACTGTTGAATCAAGTATGTAAAAAATATAGCGTTACTGTGATGAAAGTGTTGGAGCACAGACTTATAGGAAGAACACTTGAAAGTCTTAAACCTCTTCTTGAAATGGAGGAATATGATAACAAAATTTTATACTTAGTTCGAGATCCACGTGCGGTCATTTCATCCATGTATCAGGCTGGATGGATTGCTAGTATAGGAAAGGATGGTCAGCTGATTCCATATCAGCCAATCAGCAGACGTTTTCACTGGTACGTTCAACGAATTTGTCATCAGATGGAAACGAATGTGAAGTTCGTTAAACACCCGCCATATTGGTCGAAGAAACGTCTTTTTCTTCTGAGGTATGAAGACTTAATAACAAACCCGGAAAACATTACTAAAGATATGTTTGAATTTATAGATCTAGGAGAGGCTACGGGGATAAAAGAATGGGTTTATGATCACATGAATGCACATAATACCACATTGGGGGGAACAGAAGAGACTTATGCAACCAAAAAGAATGCATCTTTGACGCTCAAGAAATGGCGCTTGGAGGCATCGCGAGAAATGGTTAAAGTAGTCGAGAAACACTGTAAAACTGTCATGGATTTGCTTAGCTACACTCAGACCAAGGTTCTGAGGCTTTACAGTATGACTTAGGTTCAATTTCACAGATTAAAAGTTTTTTCAATGATGATCAATAAGAATTAAACAGATAATATGTATTTGGCTTAGTTTTCTCCGCTGATGTTAATTTTAATTTCAAACGCATCCGATAAATGTGTATGATTAGAACTTCATCCGTACAACTAATTGGTACAACCAGAAATTAACCTGGAGTTAATACTGAACGCTTCCTGCAGCTAACGTTTGTCTCGCTTCGATGCAAAGGCATGGCTGCCTTTCAAGATGGCGCAGGGAACTCAAGTGTGAAGGAACTACATGAAAATATAGAAATATAGATAAGTTACAGTGCTTGGGAACGAGGTTATTCCGGGCGAAAGCCCTTGGAATTAAATTCGGAAAAATTAATTTCCGACCTCGCTGGGAATCGAACCCACGACCTTCGGAATTGTACTACCGATGCTCTACCAGCTGAGCTAGAGGTCAGACTGAGAGCAGTCCGGGGTGAAATAGATGTTAGCTAGCGGTAAAGGAAGCGGTTAGGTGTGAAGGAACTAATTGCACAAAAATTGCAAGCAGCTGCGACTGGAAGTCAGAAAACGCGGCAAGACTTACTATAATTACATTGAAACCCCCAAAAAATAAAAAGATTGAAACACGTTATATATACGTGCACTATTAATGTAAATGATAATTATAATTTGTTTTCTTTGTCGTAGCGGTGTGAGCGCTCGCCTCTCGTCAATGCGAATCCGAGTTCGAGTCCCGCCGGGCTCGGTGTTGTATATGTGTAGAGTTGTTTGTTGGTTCTCTTCTGTGCTTCGAGGGTTTTCCGGGTTCTCCGGTTTTCCTCCCTCCACAAAAATCAACTCCTAAATTCCAATTCGATCATGGAATGAGGGCCACAGGTTTGTTAGCCACTGGATATTAAGTGCTACCCTCGTGAAAAAAGGACGTTTTTTTTTTAAATACAAGATTCTTTCCATTAAATGATGTTGGTATCAATACCATCCAAAACCTCAATTTCTTTCCTTGACACAGTCTTGTCTTTTCTACAATCGATTTTTAAAGAATTTTTAGTAACTAAGGAGAGATTCCAACGAAACTTGAGCGTGCACTTGTTTGTTTTTCGCTACTCAATATCTATCATATCTATCACAGGATAGATAGCGAGTACTTTAGCCAATCAGATTGCAGGATTCGTGATAGTATGCTAGTAGGTTTATGCTAACTCCGCCGAATAGTCTTCGAACTAGTACAAGACGCCTTGTGATGTTTTTAACAATAATTTGTATTAAGGGAGTGTACTTTGACGGAACCATCATACTGGGCTCTGGAGTAATTTCCATTTCCACTGTCACTGCCGATTTTCTAAATTAAAAAATCCCCTCAGCACCATTAAGGCATGGCTCTTTTGAGGAAGTGATGGAAAATCAGTTATTTATTCATATCTTTGACAGTTTACTATGAATCTTTCCTAAATTTGGCTCGTAGTAATAATTCTTCAAGGCAAGCAATTACCGCATATCTGTTACCATGGAAACCAGGTCACGTGACCACAAGGCCGCCATCTTGGATCTTTTAAACAAATCGTTTGTAGTCGTATTGAAACTACTTCAAAAGTCCTGAAAATCCATATTCCTTTTTATATTTGCAATACCTATATGGATCTAATTGGATATCTTGGAAATTATATTAAGTTTAATTTTTAGAATATTTTTAAATTTTTGGAAAATACAGAAAATATTCTAAAAATTAAACTTAATATAATTTCCAAGATATCCAATTAGATCCATATAGGTATTGCAAATATAAAAAGGAATATGGATTTTCAG